ATTAATTAATTGATTGATTGTCACATTCAAAAATAATTGTCACTGGTCTTCATCAATATTCTTTTTTTTTTTACCTGCACATGGCTAACCACTATTAACCACTTATAACAAAATTATAGAATCTTCATTTAGCTTCGTCGGGCGTTAACACCCCCTTATCATCCAGAATATAATAGTAAGGCTGAACGGTATGTAGATGTTAAGGATAAACTAAAAAAATATCATTTGAAGGATTCGACACAAACTATTGAACAGCGTATTGTAATTTTTTTAGTTAGTCATAGGAATACACCTACTAGTTCTGGTGTTAGCCCAAATGAACTTATTTTTAAACTGAAACCAAAAACAAGGCTAGATTTATTGAAGCCAAAGATGGGGAAAAATACTTTATTCAAAAATACAGTGAATTTAGGGCAATTTCCCATGTTCTTGATGGGAGAAAAAGTGTTGGTAGGCAAATTGGGTCCCAGTTGGGATGAAAAATGGAAATAAGGTGACTTGTTGTCAGCTCGGTCGCACGGTCGAGGTAGTTTTTCTCGGATAATTATCTTGTGGATTATTTCTCTTCTTTCGGATTATTACGAATCGTATTAATAAACCCATCAAGTAAGTTTGGCCTTTCATTAACTGAGGTTAAAACTTTACAACTTCAGCGTCAATGGTTGCATTCGCTGACAGATAGCTCTCAAGGGTAGTATTCTATACATTCTGCAAAGAGGTCCGGTGCGGATTGGTGCAAAATCTGCGTCTTGTTTAAGTTGACCTCTAAGCAGATTCTCCTGTATATCTGGTGGAAAGCATTGATAATTGCCTGAAGAGCTTCCTTTGTATTGGTCATCATGTCGTTATCATCCGCATCTTAAAGTTCAATTATAGATGTCGATACTTTCATCTTGGCTCGTAATCTGGTTATGTTGAACAAGCCGCCATAAACTCTGTACAGGATCTCTACTCCTCACTGCAGTCTGCAGGTGACTCTCGACAAGTGAAGTATGGATTTTATAAATAGAGAAAATAGAGTGGGTGCAATAACACAGCCCTGTTTAACGCCTGTATAGTTATTTGAAAAGACTCTCCTTTGCCATTATCTTCCAAAGAGCGCCTCTGTTGACCAAACTAAATGCTTTCACTAAATCTACGAAGTCCATGTATAGTTGGCGATTCTGTTCTCTGGATCTCTTTTGCATTTTTCTTGCACTGGAAATCGTGTCATGTCAGCTGTACCATGGTTCGGTTTAAAGCCACACTGAGTCTCTGGGAGATTCTGTTCGGCAGTTGGGATTAGACGATTTGATAATATCTTGGCAAGTATGTTTTCCGCAACACAAAGTAAAGATATTCCTCTGTAGTTATCACGTTTAGCCCTGTTTCCCTTTTTAAAAATGGCAACTATGGAGGCATCTCTGATTTCGGCAGGCATGATCTCAGTAACGTATATTTCACTTACTAGGATGTGAGTTGGAGAACTTAGTGTGGGGCCTCCTTGTTCAAAGATTTCGCTCAGGAATGGCGTCGCTCGTCAGTACCAACTGACTCATTGTTCTTTAGTTGTCTGATTGCCTTTTCAACCTTTAATTTGGGAACTCCGCTCAGTTCTTGTTATACTGGTTTCTGTGGAATTTCGTTGTAGATTTCATTATTAGTTTGCGATTATCTGTTAAGTAGGTAGTTCCTAGGTCTGTTCTCACAGAAATCAAAAACCAGTCAAAGCGAATTTCATTAGATGAAAATAGTCAGAAAACTATTCGTTGACGATTTACACCAATCAAAAACGCTGTGACTGGTTTGTGATTTCTGTGAAAACAGACCTCCTGATACACACACAGCACAGCACCTATACTGTTTTTGCAGAATGTGTATCTTTTAATTTCTCCGTTTTTCACAGTTTATGCACACTTTACACACTTGGACCTATAGGTATAATAATAAGAATACCTACGCATAGAAGTGAGAAATATTTAGATAACTACCTAATACAAATGTATCAAAATCGTTAACTCAAGTGTATAAAACCAATGGGTGCATTAAACTTTATCCATAACTATTGTCCTGTGGACAGTAAAATACTCTAAAGCTTCTTATTCTATCCAAAGAGTATCTTCCATTATGTGTGCGTCACGTTTTGAGAATATATCATTTTGCCCGAATTTCTGAATGTAGAACGCAATCCCTTTCTCAAGTAAAGCCGACTTTTAGCTCTCGAGAGAAACAACAAGATCTTCAAATTATTTTCCAAGCACTTAACAGAGCATAAAGCTTTGACAGATTAAAATTCCACATGCGAGCGTCACTTTTCATAATGTATGAGGTCGTTAGTGTTTCGGTTTATAAAACGATTTTTTGTATTATTTAAATTGTTTTATTTGTGTTTTTGAATTTTTAAGAGGGTATATTATCCTAATATGAGTCCATAATATTTCAATGAAATCTGTAAGAAATTAGATCGTAAAAAGACTTTTGGGCAAAGTAGATATGTATAGGTATCCGTGAAGAAATACCATTATACGACCAAAAAATGGTTCATGGCGCTTTTTGTATTGAAAAAGAATAAAGTATAATAGGGGCGATGTCAAAACGTTTTTATATCTGAAATCACCTATTTTATCGATTGAAAATATTTTTTGTCTAGCTTTGTAAAGGCAAGTAAAGGCGAAGATAATGATAGACATGGTATTTTATGTAACAAAAGGGATGGATGTTAATTAAAATTAAACCAGGTTTCAGAAGATTTCCTGCAGTGCTAAAATAATTATATTAATGCAATATTCAGAAGCTCGTCTTAAACTGTTGAAAATAAAAGTTGGTAAACTTAATGGGCTCGAAATGAATAAAATTATTGTTTTAAAACGCTGTATTCATTTTACTTTAGGATACTAATTTAGTTTTATCACTCGAGTGCCAGCAACTTCATAAATTTTGTTAATCTTATATGTAAAGTATAAATTTATAAACTAGATACCAGATTTAGGCGTATAGAGAGAATATCGAAATTTCCAACTCTCATTTGCAATTCTCTCAGTGATGCTCGAAACCAAATATGCAATGTTAACGCTCTTATTATTCTGCCATCTGCACATAAATTTAACCCATTATTGTTGAAGCTGTCAAGTTTATATCTTTGAATTTGCTAGTGGCAGGCTCATAACGCATAACAACTTTAAAAATAATCGGCTTTATTTCGCTATACTGCTCGGTGATATTGCGAAAAGTGAATATAAAATATCGAGTTTATTTCTTACTTTTTGATATCATTCTATCCAATTCTGAAAAAGCTATGTCCATGACATATAAAGTATAAAAGTAGGACACTGATTATTAGATTTTAAATTTATTTCTTACTTTCTAGCTGCCGCAGTTGCGGTTTATGAGTCAAACTGTGCTTTTATAATAACTTATATAAGTTCTGGTTTTCACTTCAGAAAGTATAAAATATGCAATAGATTTTTTTATGTGAAAAAAATTGCCTATATTATTTTCTTTGTTGTAGGAAAACATACAAGATGAAATTTTATTGTGTAAATGATAAATTATTGCATTCGATACAATTTCAACATTGTTAATAATAAGAGAACACAAACATTTCCAAAATTATAAAAACTTTCAATACCAGAATTACCAACTGTGTCCCCAACTGTCCGAATGGTACAATTATGTGCGAGTCGTATACCACTAGGTATGTAAGAGTGATAAGTGATAAACTTGTTCAATTTTTTAAAAAATTTTATTCAAAAGTGAGACTTTGTGTCCTACTTCAGTACCTAGGTATTTATTTTGTGAAAAACGAATTGTCTCTTTTTGAAAGCTGCTACTGCGTTTCTCGATGTAATACTAATTCTAAGAAAGAAAGTTTAAAGAACAGAAAATGGTATTTTTCCAGGAAACGATTGGCAAAGTACGCCAATTTGGCCGCTTGAATAAGATATAACGAATGCAGTATCTAGGCAATAAATCGCAATCACACGTAATAGATCTGTTCCATAATTTACCTGCTTGTTAGAAGTTTCTTCTTTTGGAATGTGTAGGAAATCTAATGGCTGTAATTTTTTCCGCACGTGTGAGAGTGTTTTATTTTATTTCCTGGTCTTTTTATACATTGAATGTAACAAGTAAGGACAAAATACAATCAGTTAACATTATAGGATTACTACAATAAGCCTCAAGCCCACGTTAAATTCTAGTTGAGTGTTCGAATTGAGTGATCGCTTGCTGCATTTGTGCAAATGAGCTGACTAATTAGAATTTCCTTTTGGCGCAAGTTCAAACATACCTCCAGTATTTTTCTGTAATAGTATTTTGCATCTCAAATTGTTTTCAGAAAATGTTCAAACCAATTCTATCGGTGCTGCGGGCGGCATGTAATTTTCCAGCAGCAACCTAACGGGTAGTTTGATGCAATTTTCCTAACACTATTACGATAAACTTTGGACTTGAGACAACAGTGTAAGCATTAGCTCGAGCTTGCTGAAAAACTTTACGAGTTCAACTGAATGTTAAAGGAAAGTTTTTCCAATGCCGATCTGAAACCTAAATAGTTATAGCCGAGACAATTCGCACGTTTTTTGCAATAACTACAGACAAAAATGCTTAAATTCAATAATATGATGGTTGAGGTCAAAACATAAAAAATAAAAAACAATTATAGTAGGTGGGTATAACTAAAATTTTAAATTATATAGTTTTCGGTACAATGGCGAAGGTCAGAAGAGACCCTTTTTCGCTATGAGTGAATCTTTATTAGAGTGCCTTCAATAATGCCTTGATTTCAATATAGGCATTCATAAAAGGATAGGATTTTGACTTTGGTATTGTGATTCATGAATCTTTTTATTGAAAACTTCGTAAAATTTTTAATCTTATTGTCTATATTATGATTCGGAAACCATACATGTTTATTTCAGACAAAGGAGCTTTTACGAGCTAACCATTTGAAGATGTACAAGAAATTCCAGATTGTACATGTTCAAAATGCTACATCAACATGAGCTAATGGACAATTTTAGAGAGTGAACCGAGTGAAAACTTCATCGTTAGCCAGTCTAAGTCAAGAAAAAGATCAAGTAGATTGGGATAAGCAAGTAAATAAAGTGCAATCGAGTATTTATAAGTAATGCAATTCATCGAGTAATAAAATGTACTCTGTAGTTTAATATTAAGTTTCAAACAGAGAGAAAATTATCATGATCGCATTGAACCAAAAAGGTTAGAGCTAGGTTCAGTTTGAGAGCTTTGAAGTATACTCCGCATCCCGAGCCTGTTTGAATTTTGGAATCATCAGTGTAGAGGTTACTTACCCCTGCCACTGTGTTGCTTGCGTAGTGCTTTTTGAAGAAGAAACATGGTGTTGCAGAGTCTATTCTGGCCTCCAACAATAGAAGCGAGTTTGTTGCCTAACGCCATATGTGGGCTCTCTGCAAACCGACTTCAGCACTTGGTTCTATGGCAGCAAATATCCAGTTAAGTTCTCCAAAATTTTGTAGAGGGCGCGAGTGAACTTGCAGTGCTTCAAATTTTGGCGGTAAATGTCAATAGTTTTAAACCGTTTAAATTGAGTAGAAGGAAAGATGACTCCAATATGAACAATGAACAATGAATAAGTTAAAATATCTTCCAAAGCATTCAGTGGCCCTTAAAGAATATTTTTAAAAGTGTCAGCGTCAGCTTGTCTTGAAACCACACATCAAACATAACTTTTGAGGTTAAAATTACAATCCATTATTTACGCGCCAAAATTTAAATAGCTCCAAGTACAGAAGCGCCCTCTTCAACTCAACTGTCAATATTACATGCCATTCCAACAGTGCGGAAGCGCATCATCGTGGTTAAAACGACCTCCTTGAAATAAGTATCCAGGGGCGTCAAACATAGAATTACTTCCAAAGCCCTAGTGTGGTTTTCATTGCACCAGTTATTTTGAGGCATGTCATTCTTTGGATGTGGTCTAGTTTTCGGCTTATGAGTAGTCTGTTCGGCCTTATATTCCCAGACAATAGCCCCATAGGTAAGCGTAGGCCTGATGATGTTATATAGATCCACATAACTACCTTGGGGGAGAACCGCCAGGTCTTACCGATAGTATCGATAGTACACTGTTGATAGGCGATATATGCTTTATGTATTCTCTTAGCAATATGAGAGTTCCATGTTATGAGTGTCACTTCCAGATATTTGACCTCGGCGGCAAAACTTAGTTCGGTGTTTAAGAGTCTGGGTGTTGCCGGACGTACCAGTTTCCTCTTTCTTGTGAATAGGACCATTTCAGTCTTTTTGGGGTTGATGGACAGAGTATATTCCGTGCACCATTTTTCTATAATTCAAAGAGTAGTCATCTGCGTTAGCTATTGTGTAGTGGTTGTTATTGTTTAGGCGGACAATGAGGCTGTCCGGAACCATGTTCCACAGGAGAGGTGATAGCACGCCTCCCTGCGGGCAGCCTGTTGTGACCATCTCTTTAATGTTGACGTCAGCACACTTATCTGTACAATTCTTTTGAAAAGTATATTGAATATCCATCCGGTAATAGTTTCCGGAATATTCCTTTCTGTTAGCGAGTGGCTAATTTTTTAAAAGGTGGTTTTGTGAAAGGCCCCCTTAATGTCGATGAAAGCCCCGAGAGCGGACAGTAGAGTGTTTTCACAGCTATCAGACCACATACCCACCTCTACCACGTAAAACCCCCCTCCAGCACAGCAATCATACCACTACCCATCTCCACTGTAAACCCCCTTCCGTGAAGCTCCTAAGCACTTTTTTGACTCAAGTGCCCCCCAGCTATCAATACCCACCTCTTTTACGTAGGTAAATGGTTCACCAAATTCACAAATTTTGGGATTGGCCCGGGTCAAATTCCCAACATTTCAGATCAAAGGCGCCGATTTTCCCACGGTATCGAAAAATCTTCCACGGTATGGCCCGAATCATATTCCCAAAATTTCAGATCAAAGGCACCGATTTTCCCACGGTATCGAAAAAGTTCCCACAGTGGGCCCGGGTCAAATTCCTAAAATTTCAGATCAAAGGCGCCGATTTTCCCACGGTATCGAAAAATTTCCCGGGCTCAAGAGCCTTCAGCAATCAAACCAATAATACTCACCTCTAGTACGTTTAAAAGCTTTTACTCTGTTATCCAGCGCTTTTCCATTCACCCAGCAACCAGCGAGAGGGCTGTGATCGTTGAACTCCCAGGGGTGTATGCATGTTGATTAGGGTGGAGTGGATTGGTTGGCAACACTTCATCCCTTATGTACCTTTCGCATAGCCTCTTTATTGTTTTTAGAGAAAATGATGAGAGGCTTATGGGGCGATATGCCTTGGGAGTGGTGTAGTCCATCCTCCTTGGTTTGGGTAGGCACACCACTTTAACTTATCTCCAAGCCTTGGGTATATATGCGTCAAGGACTCCCTGAACATCCCTACCAGGTGCGGCAAGAGTGGCTTCAGACTCCACTGAAGTAGGGCTGGATAGATGCCTTCAGGTCCTGGTGGTTTAAAGGCGGAGAAGCCTGAAATTGCCCAACCTATTTTTTCCTCGTATATTATATGATTCGCTAGTTGTTAATCAGTTACAGAGGGTATGTATATTACCTGCGTCTGATCCTCCACAATTGTGGATGTGGAGTTGGGAAAGTGGGTTGCTACTAGTAACTCTGTGCTTTCTTGACGGTTGGCAGTGGAGGTACCATCCTCCTTGCACACGATACCAATTTCCCGGAATGGGTCTTTATTGAGAGCTTTCTGAAATCTCGCCGCTTCCGTATAGTTGGAACTAAATCAGATATGTTTCAACCAGGAGATATTATGATTTTGAAAAATGAACAATCCATTGTTACCTAACAAAGATTCCGGAAAACTTTTGCCGGAATCCAAGAGACCTTGCATTTTAGTTGAACGTCTACAAAACGACCGAATTAGAATCGAAGACCTAGGAGAAATAAAATGATCACAAACTAGTATCGTGGAGCTGCTGCGGTGCATGCACTGAAATCATATAACCTAATTATTGATCTTGAAGACTCAGATGGATAGATAATCAAGCTAATGATCTTCTATTTACTAAAATAGTGGCCTGACTGACCAGAGACTAATTTAGCATGTATTCTACTAGAGTAAAGAGCGATTTCCTCCCTAGAGAAATTATACACTTTGCTCCTCTTGTGATAAAAGTAAGTATTTTGCTATGTTATCTGGTCAATTAAAATTACTATACGTTGAAACTAAAAATTCTCATTTACCGGAGTTAGAAAAAAACAAACCAACAACAACAAAAAAAAACATAATAAAATATGTATTTTCTTTGTAAAATCCTTCAAATCACATCAGAGAATTAAAGCTTCATAGAAAGCAAAAGGTCCAATAATCCTTACATAAAACCATTTTAAGGCGTTCTCTTTGATATTTTCCATGCTGCATCCGAGAGACTCGTCAATAATAGTTCCTGATAAAGGGTATACTAAAAGCAATCTATTTGAAAATGTGGCATCTTCCAATAGAATAATAAACTGCCGCTGCGTTTACCAATGAGAAGAAAAATCAGACTCAAAGTGTTTACCTAATTAGGTATAGGCCGGAGTATTCGGGCCCCGAACCAGATACTCGGAGCCAATGGGCAAATCGCCACGCATATTTCAAGGGAAACTTCATGCGATCGAAAAATGCGTGCAGTTCAACCTGAACAGAAGGTACCGAAAACGAGAAATTGTAATAATGTCTGACAGCCAAGCAGCTATCAAAGCATTGAGCTCGCCGGTAATCAATTCTAAGACACTATGGGAATGTCTACAGAAACTCAATGAGCTGGGGAAGGAAAACAAAGTAACCATACTCTGGGTTCCTGGACACATAGGAGTCGAGGGCAATGAATGCGCAGACGAACTTGCAAAAACGGGAGCGGCCACTCGCTTCACTGGGCCAGAACCATTCCGCGGCGTCGAAAATGCGCACCTCCAAGAAATCCTCAAAAAGGAACAGATCCGGCTAAAGAACAAACAATGGCTAGACCAACCAGGACTACGACAGATCAAAGATCTACTGGGTAGCTACAACCAAAAAAGATCTGAACTGCTGGTCAACCTTAGCAAGAAAAGTCTCAAAACTCTAACCGGGTTTCTCTCGGGACATTGCAGACTGAATAAGCACCTACATAATCTGGGGTTGGAAGAAGGTAACACTTGCAGATTCTGTGAAGACGGTGAAGAAACACCTCACCATCTTCTACTGAACTGCGATGCCGTAAGCCGCTCAAGAATGAAGAACCTGGGAAGTCCCCTTATACAGCTGGAAGACATTCTAGCCCTGGAACCGCTAGACATCCTAAAATTCCTAAAGGACCTAGGACTAGAGGGGCTGCTTTAAGCAGGAAACCCGAACTTAGCAGCAGAAGGAGGAGTACAATAGATCAACCTTGGTCGCAGTGCAACTGACACCTCCAACACATACATACATACATAGGTATAGGTATCTAATAGATAGGTTAGATGTGTTTCGCTCTTATAGGGCAACATCAGACCTGAATGGAAGAATATACGGGGTGTCCCACAATCAACGTTACAGGCCATAACTTTCTTATTTTCAAAAATAAAAATTTGAAACAAAAAAAATTATTAATGGCTAATTAAGCTCTCTTCAAAAATATAAAAAAAATCATCCCTTGAAAAAATCATCCCCTATTTACAAACAGCACCCCTACTATTTTTTTTATTTTTGAGAAGCTTATGAAATTACAAATTTGTATGGTGTATAAAAAGTTTGTTTTTCCATGTCTCTTGGGGGAAAAAAATGGGTGTCCCACCCTTAGTCTTATACAGGCAAACACATTTTTGTCTACAAAAATAAAAATATAACAAAAAAAAATTAATTGTGTGCAAATTAACCCCTTTTCAAGAATATTTAAAAAATCTTCCCTAACAAACTCATCCCCTAAAAACAACTCTTGCCTTTTTTTTTCAAATAGAACCCCATTATTATTATTTTCATTTTTGATTTTTTTTTTCTAACGAAACATGGAAAAACAAACTTTTTATACATCATTGAATTTGCAATTTCATGAACTTCTCAAAAAAAAAAAAAATTAGGGGTGCCATTTGGAAAAAAAAAGTGAAGGGTTGTAAA